GGAGATGTTTTAGCAATTACTAAACAGGCCATTTTCTGAAAATCTTATACATCAAACTTTATTGTGAGCTTTGGCCTCTTCAGAGAACATGTTGGATGAAGATGACCCTAAGGCATTGACAACCAAGGCCATGGTGACTGCCCAACTATCTGGATTCCAGGTATGATAATGATTCTGCAATTCTCTGATGTTAATGCGTATCGCATATGACTTGCTTTGCTTTGCTGGATCTAGTATCATGGTGGACATAGTTATACTTTCTGGAACAGTGAATCACGTAATGGTTGTTTGTCTGCGGAATTTAGATTTGTACTAGCAATTACTAGCGATTTTAGCTTCATGCAAGCAAGTTGCAGCATGCAATCCAAACTGGGAATGATTTTTGTAGTTAGCTCACCCTTGTGAGATTGCAACCTTTTGTCCTGGACATTATTGTTGTGTGTTTTATTTCATTAGAGTAGAAGTCTGACATTTGAGTTTGAGCCATATTTAAGCAGTCTGAGAAATGTGAAATAAGGTTTTATTGCCTTCAAATGAAAAGTTTTCATCTTCAATGATGTATTTGTATTTTATATTTTGGTAAACGAACATATAAAACTCAAATAGTAATACTATGGATTCATGAATTTTATCATATTCTGTTTTGTTCGCTTTAAACTATTTACATTCATACTGGCCTAAGATTTGAACTATTTAGGATGTTGATCGAACAATTTTCAAAAGCACACTCTATAAATATAGATTTTTTTTTTTTTGCCTGAATTCATATAGAGATGGATATGAAAAGAGGGAAGAGAATCCTGGTGACAGGGTTTTCCATGGCTAAAACCATGAAAGTCATGAGCAGTAGCTCTTCAATGTTCCTTAACAATTACAAGCAACATTAGCATCATACTCCATGGAAGTGGACTTCTCTGCGCATCAAAAGTCAAGGGTATCCATCAATCTAACTATGGCTTCCTCTCACCAAAAGAATCAACATTTATAGCTTTTGGCACAATAATGGTGAGTACGGTTGTCATGCAGCCACTAGAGCAAGATTATAAGCTACGGACGAAAACAAGGAAAACTAATGATCTTTCAGCTATATCTCCTACTCTGTATCATAGAGGATGGAAATTCTCTACTATTTTACTCTTTACAATTTGGTGGGCACCGAGCTTCTATGTAACAGATAGTAAGCTGATAAAAACAAAATTCTGTAATGGATTGTAACATGCACTTTATCTGGCAATGTCGAGACCATGGTGTGCTAGCTTGTGTAGGGAACCTTTTCATGGCCACAAGCTGATAATGATTGCAGGCAATGAATGGTAGCAGGAAGCGATCTCTTCCTGTTCGCCAAAAAGAACAAGAAATAAGACAAGGAAAAAGAAACACTAACCATGAGCTTTATAACCTGGTCGAACCTTTTGGACTTCAACCCTAAAGACAAGCAAACTATCTGTAAACTTGAGCAAAGAAGCATGATTAGTAAAAAAGAAAACAAACAAAAACAACTGGCAAAGCAAAATAATACAAACAATAAGTCCAACCACCAAAGATTTTCATTCTGACATCCAATGCACAAACAGGGTTTATTCGGAAAACTACACAGGTAACTCGAGTATAACTAAATCTGCTAGACTGTCAGTAGTCATTATCGCACGCTGATTATTCAAAGTTCATAACAATCACCATGAATAGAGACATCTCCCGCATTTGAATCGGAGATCTCTATTTAAGAGTGTACGCAGCCTCATCTTTTCTTAAAATCATATTTCTTACACTTGTAAATAGATCAGTCTTCCACTTCCTAGATTAACAGTTTTTGGACAACCATCCCTGTCTTTCTCTTGCTGCGTATACTCTTTCTAGTAATAGGCATCCGAAATTTCCACTCCTCCACAGATAAAGCACTGGCCGTGGAATGATCCATAGTTGCATTCGTCACACACCCGCACAAGTGTGCAAGGACGCACGTAGGAATCACATATGACACACTTTCTGTCATATTTCTCACAAAGTCATCCTATGGTCATGCCTGGCTGCTTCCGGCACATGACCAAATCAGGATGATGTTCGGTCATTCTTTCTGCAACAAGCTCTTAGATTCTGTTTACAGTCTGACAAGCAGATATACATCCAAGCAAAGAAAAGTGTCAGACTTCTTCAACATGCCTTCAAATCTTATGGATGAAAAATTCTAAATCAGGGGACAGCAATTAAATACTTGACAGAAACAAATGCAGAAGCTGTAAAGACTTAAAGAAGTATTAGACATGAAACAAAAATTCTAAAGCAGCATGATTTTACATTCACACATGTCCTATATATAACTTGTGTTTGAGCTATTTGTGTTCTTCATTGTTGGTCATAACTTACATGCTCCTGAAAATTTATAGCTGTAACTGCCTTAGACATGAAACTAAAAGGTCTCTTTACATAAAGGTTATGGGTGAAATGGAAGTTCCTGGCAACGATCCCTTCATTGATAGAAATAAATTGTGAGACTGGGACATTGTGTCTGGATAAATGGTCAAGAATTGAGAGGCTTTTAGGTTGATCTCCCACCGAGGTGTCTTCCCATAACATAATCTTAGATCAATCTCCCAAGTAAAAATGAAATAAGAACAAAAAGAACTTGTGGCGTTTGGTGAATTGAGAAATTATTGTACTGTACTTTTCTTCTCAACGAAATATATATTTTATATCCAAACACTAGTCTTTGAAGAGAACTGATCCCTCTGGCCCTCTTTAGTTTCTTAAATTTCTTTAATCTAACTTATTGATTAGCTCCAACACCTTCTAAAACCAGTGCCAACTTCAAAAAATATCCCCTGCCATAACTTTTTCTTAAATAGCAAAAATTATATCCCCTGCCATTCCTTGTCAAACCTAACTAAAGAAAGCAACTTCACTCTTGTAGTATGTGATCCATGAGCTATCAAGGCTCTAAATATCCACCTTATCTCCAAGTTGAAAACATAGATTGGAAACCTCTTCTAGTTTACATCCTATATGATTCTAAGAGTATCTTCAACTTCCCCCTCTGGAATCACATTGAGAGACTTTTCTTCTATCATCACAAACTTCTTTGGGTGTAAAATCTTTTTTTTTTTTTGATAAAAAAAGACATTGTAAAACCTTAAACCATTAGAAAAGAAGATTACACAGATGCCAAGCTGAATGTGTTACAAGAAGCGATGGATCGTGATCATCCATGTCGTCATGATCCATCACATTATAAATGTGTGTTACAAGATGTGATGGATCGTGACGACATGGATGATCATCAACCAAGAGATATGAGAATGGAAAACATTTCTCTAGCATTTGAGAGGCACATTTGCTGGTTATCAGAATAAATAGTACATTAGATCAAAGTAGTGACAGGGGGATGATGTAAGAAGTTCGAGTACATGTAATACCACCAGATTTGGAGCAAACAGAAAATTTTATTCTTGTAGGTATGACCA